TTGGTGATTTTTACTTCTTTCTGTTGATGACATAAACTCATGATAGTTGAACTTTAGAGACAATGTGGTGTAACAGAGAGACCATTTGTTTTAGAATTTTAGGACTATGTGTAATCTTAGTTTTGCTGTTCAGTAGCTGTACGAATTAATCTTCCTAAGTTTCCTGAATTTAACATAAATTGAAAAATTATGTCAGTAGACTGAATGGTCATGAGTGGCAAAAGCTTATCAGTGTGTAGGGAATAAATGGAGGCTGAGAAATAGTGGGGGAGGATTGAAGAAAGGAATGCAGAAGGTGGGAAATGCATTTAATCAAATAATCCAGATAGCGTTAAGACCAAGGAGTCCTAAGCACTGGGTGTTACGGAATCAAGAGTATAGAAACTTGCATTTACCCTGAGCTCTCCTCTTGAACAATTCCTGAGTAACATCTCTTTATTTCCCTTGAAAGTGTTCTCTCCAACTTTTGTATCAGTACCCGTTTCTAAATTGCCTAAGATAATTTTAATTTTCTTTCACAATAGAGATGAACCATATTTTTATTTCAACCCCAACTTTTAATTATTTATTTTTTTAAAGATTTTATTTATTTGACAGAGAGAGGGAGAGAGCACAAACAGGCAGAGTGACAGGCAGAGGGAGAGGAAAGAAGCAGGCTCCCAGCTGAGCAGAGAGCCCGACACGGGGCTCAATCCCAGGACCCTGGGGTCGTGGCCTGAGCTGCAGGCAGATGCTTAATGACTGAGCCACCCAGGCACCCCTCAACCCCAACTCTTAATGCAACCAGTATATTTTGACCCTCCCTGTTTTGTCAAAGTAATTAAAAGTGAAACATTGGTGAGAGAGGCAGATGTGTGTCCTCCTCCCCCTTTAAATTCTTGTTAGTTTATAAATAGCAAAGATTTCTGGAAAACATCAAAGCTAGGTTTTTTTTTCAGGATCAGAAACTGTAAGATTGTTGCTTCTCTGCAGGTTCTAGGAAAGGCCAAGGGAGGTAGGACGGGCCTGATGCAGAGACCCTCTGTTGGATTAAATCAGTGAGATTTCCAGAGATTTCCAGGAAACCTATAGAACGTGGTGACTTAAGAGTGCTAAGGATTCTCAACTGTGTCACTTTATTAGCTGCATAATCTTAGAGGTTTTTTCTGAATCTGTTTCTTCTTAGGTTTTAAAAAAAAAAAAGTGAGGGGCAGCAGTTATAGAAACTATTCTGTCTATTTTGTGACTTTAAAGTTCTGGACAGAGTATGTTTGAGGTTTTCTTTTCTTTTTTGGTTTTTGTTTTTGGATAGGACTCTTCCAATTTCAGATTTTCAATATTTTGAGCTTTTCGTTTAGACCCTGGAGCTCCTCTCAGCTTTCATTTTCACCTGATATGAAGTCTTAGCTCCAAGATAGTTGAGCGCACCATAGCTCAGAGCAGAGAGGCCCACTTCCTCCATGGTACAAGTCCAAAAAGGGATAGTAAGGACTTTATTTCTACAAAGCCAACTTTGTCAAAGAGCACTTGGGTTTGACTTCTCTTTTGATATTCCTGTATTTCTGTGGCTTAGATTACTATTAGTTAATATTTTTTGACCTTTTAGGTTCCATTCTCCTTGCAGATAGTCCAAGGACATTTCAGACTTGAAATATGCAAAACTTAATTCAGTATATATTCAGATGAGCTTCTTTACAACTGTATTTTCTTTCTCAGTTACATCATTAGTCTTTCCCCATGCTAGACACCCTAATCATTTTAAATTCTTACTTTTTCTTTTATCCTCCTCATTATCAGTCACCTAGTCTTGATTTTAGCTATGGGATCCTGACAAATCAGTTACATTGTTTCAGTTAGGCCTTTGTAATTGCAAAGAAGACATTCTTTTTTTCTCAGGAAGATAGGCCTCAGGAGAAACATGAATTACACAGCAGAGCCTGCCCAGGTGTAGACAGAACTAGGTGGCTATCAGTTCTGGAACTAGTTTACAATCTTTGACTCTCTCTTGGCTTCATATTCAACTCCCTGTTTTTTCTTTCTGTATCCTTTCAATTTTAGCCACAGCTACTAACTCTTTCATTACCTCAGCACTGCATACTTCAAATTCCAAAAAGAGAATGTGGTTCAGCTAAAATATACCTATTTGACAAAACTTTTCATGCTAGGTTCTGGTCAGCCAGTGCATTTCTGGCTGCCCCTTAAGTCAAGGACATGCTCCTGGCTGGAAATCATGTGATCCAAAATAACCACCTAGTGCTGTTCATTTATCAGGGGCTATCTTTTGGTATTTGTTGTAATTTTTCTTTTTTTAAAATTGGATCTTAATGGTTTAATATTTCTTTTAGGAACCTTGAAAATGCCTTTGGAAACCATTTTTCTCCCACGGCCATTCCTGAGACTCTCTTATTAGCCCTTAGCTATACTAATGCAGCATTATTCTTCCACTTCCTAATTCCCAGATAACTTCTTCCAGGTCATCTTTTATTTTTTTTTTAATTTTTTTTAATTTTTAAAAAAAATTTTAAAGATTTTTATTTGTTTGACAGAGAGAGACACAGTGAGAGAGGGAACACAAGCACGGGGAGTGGGAGAGGGAGAAGCAGGCTCCCCGCAGAGCAGGAAGCCTGAGGTGGGGCTCGATCCCAGGCACCCTGGGATCATGACCTGAGCTGAAGGCAGACATTTAACCAACCGAGCCACCCAGACTCCCCGCTTTGGGTTGATTTTATTCCCAGGAGGCTCTTCCTGTGGCCAGCAATGTGTTGTGTTCTCAGCTTACCAACAGAGGGAAAATTACCTCTTTCTTAGTAGGTACAGCAGAAGTGCTGGTTTTACTGCCTGGCTTGAATCATATGCCAATTCCTGAGGCAGTCACTGTGGCAGAGGGATGGAATGTCTTGTCTAGGCCTGAATCATGCACCCATCCCTGGAGCTCCGTGGTGAAGCCAGCCCAACTTGAATTGCATGAACTGAAAGGGCACCAGGGGCAGGGTTTCCCGAAGGAAAATTGGATGGCAGATACCAGGATGAGGAAGAATGGATTCTGAGCAGCCGAAAGTAATGGAAGTCCTCTCCATTACACTTTAAAAAGACCCAGTAGGGAGGCTGACACTTGTCATATAAGTATGTGTGCACAGGCATATATAGACTGAGAAATGTGTGAAAATAGACACATTAAGCTGTTCACATTGCTCATTGCAGAGGAGTATGATTCAAAAAGGTAGAAGACCAATTATAGTATTTGTTATGTATCTGTATTATTTGACTTGTTGCCGGGAACACAGGTTATTTTTGAAGAATAATTAAAAATATAAAACCTAAAAGTTATAATGAAGAGTTTTCCTCTTAGGAATATTCTGATACCTGGCAATTGCTTTTGAGGTAGTTAGTAGTAATAATAATGGTAACAGCTAACATTTCCTGAGTGCTTTTCTGCATGAGGAAAATTGTGCATGTGATAGAATTTTTCATTTAACCCTAACAGTAACCTTCTGAGGCACTGTTATTAACAGCAATTGACATGTGTATAAACTGAAACTTAAGAGAAGTTGTTAGTCATTCCCAGACCTAGCTGTCAGAATGACCTGGAGAATTAAAACAAGCAAACATATCCCCAGATCCTATCATGAGCTACCAAATCAGAATCTCTTGGGGAGAGCCTAATCTATATATTCAACAGGCATCCAAAGTGATTTATTTGTAGTGAGTTTATTACTGAAGTTTGGGAATCGCACTGGGTCATGTATTTAACTCATGGTGGCACATTTCTTAAGAATGAGAGCTGGGTTTCAAACCTTAACAACTGCACTATTAATGACTTATTTATTATCAGTGTTAAAGTTAGGTACAAGGTTTTTGGGCTAAATCAACCTTTGTAGACCAGCATGAAACTCTCCAATAGTTACGAGGGATATTTCTATATGGAAGAGTTTTGAATTCTAGGCATCTAATTTACAAGTGACCTTTTCAAACACCAGACAAAGGTTTACTCAGAGCAGGATAATTTTGTTATTGGACCAGCTGTATTATGCATTACAATAGTTAGCAGGCTGGCTCAGCTGGAAGAACATGTGACTCTTGATCTTGGGGTCATGAGTTCGAGCCTCATGTTGGGTGTAGTGATTACTTAATAAGAAAAACTTAAAAATTTTTTTCAAAAGAAAACCAGAATTGGCACCTTATTTTTACTGTGACAACATATTACTATTCTGTATTCATGAAGTATGGTGACACAGATATATATGTATATTGTTTTGTGTGTACTATAGTATTTCCTTTAAGATTAGCACTTTTGGGGCGTCTGGGTGGTGCAGTTGGTTGAGTGTCCAGCTCTTGATTTTGGCTCAGGTCATGATCTCAGTGTTGTGGGATCAAGCTCAGTGAGGAGTCAGCTTGAGATTCTCTCTCCCTCTCCCTCTGCCCCTCCCACTTGTGTGCTCACTCTCTCTCAAATAAATAAATCTTTAAAAAAAAGATTAATATTGTCTATTTAATAAAAAATAAAACAATACAAAAATAGCACACACTGGTCTTCATTCCCCATCCCCTATCCTCTGTCACACACACATGCGTACTTTGGTTAAACATCACCAACATAATATCTTCTCTTGAACTTTTAATGTAAAAATCTGAGTTTCTGTTCAATTTTGCAAACATTTAAAAGGCAAATGTGTAGTATTTTGCTTGTTTTAGCATTTATAAGGAAGGAAAGCATTATATTAAGGTAATAAACTTAACACAGTTGAAATCTACAACTAATTTAGTTAGAATAATGATGGTTTCCTAAGAAATAAATTTGATTTTCTTAGTGTGCTTGTAGTAATTCAGCAGATAGTAATGAACTGAGCTAGGAATGCAGACCATTCAAGTTCACTTCAGCCTGAGCACACACAAAACAGCAAGCATAGTATATACAGAAAAAAAGTGAATGTTGACCATTGGATTCAGTGTTGTGCTACCACTTTTCATAGTGTTCACACTTCTGGTCGTGGCTGTCTTTGGGCTCACTGCTGTTTTCTGAATTGTCTTGGTATTTGAGGCCATCTTCATATTTGAGATCGTTTGGAGATTTGAAGTTGTCTTGGAATTTGGGGTTGTCATAGAATTCAGGCTCATCTTGGGACTCGAGTCTGTCATAGACCCTGAGGTCATCAGTGTTGTAGTTATCCCCTAAGTGTTAGTGACAAATAGGAACAGGCTGATGACTAATAGCTTGAACTTCATTTTCCTGTTTCAAAATAATTACAGAAATTTACTGACACTTTGAACACAAATCTAAGAACTAGTTTTTTTTTAAAGAGGGAAAACTGAAGGAAACCTCATTCCAGCACTGGGGAAATGCCAATCTTTGGTTTAACAGTTTCATAGTTTTGGGGGCACCTGGGTGGCTCAGTCTGTTAAGTGTCTGCCTTTGGCTCAGGTCATGAGCCCCGCATCGGGCTCCCTGCTAACGGGGGGACCTGCTTCTCCCTCTTCCTCTGCTGCTCCCCCTGCTTGTGCTGTCTCTCAAATAAGTAATTAAAATCTTTAAAAAAAAAAAACAAAACAGTTTCATAGTTTTTTATTGTTATGTTAATCACCATACATTACATCATTCGTTTTTGATGTAGTGTTCCATGATTCATTGTTTGTGCATAACACCCAGTGCTCCACGCAGAACGTGCCCTCTTTAATACCCGTCACCAGGCTAACCCATCCCCCCACCCCCCTCCCCTCTAGAACAGCTTTTAAGATAGGGGAAAATTTAGAGGGATCAGTATCAATTCCTTCATTTTACGGATGGGCTCAGACAAAGGGTGTAAGTTGCCTGAGTATGCATATCTAAAAATGACCAGAACTAGAACTTGAGTCTGACTCTTAGTCCAGAATTCATTAGTAGATGTGGAGTGTGAAAGCGTAGTATAGACAAAAACCAAAAGTTTAATAGTAAACCATTTTTAAAGTAAGGCTAATTTTCTTTTATCTTACATCCAGATCTAATGGGTTGCCACATTTGAGATAATACAGTTAGCTCATGTTGGTCATGGTTAAATATTCTTTTTTTTAAACTTAAAGCGCAAACTTTAATTTTAGAAATCTATATTTACATTTGGTTCTAATACATAATTCAGAAAATTTCAAATTAATATTACCTTTTGATGTTTTTTTCTTTGAGGATTACGAATTCAGGCTTTCTTCAGTATCCTGAGGGGAATCTAAACTTCTTACTGCCTGCTTTTTAAATATAATTAGGAAGTCACATGTTCTGAACTTGACCTGCCATTTGCTCTTTGAAAATCTCCTGTTGGGTGTTTTCCAAACAATTGGTGTAAACAGACAGACCTTTTTTTTTTTTTTTAAAGATTTTATTTATTTATTTGACAGAGAGAGACACAGCGAGAGAGGGAACCCAAGCAGGGGAAGTGGGAGAGGGAGAAGCAGGCTTCCTGCCGAGCAGGGAGCCCGATGTGGGGCTCAATCCCAGGACCCTGGGATCATGACCTGAGCCGAAGGCAGATGCTTAACAACTGAGCCACCCAGGCGCCCCTAAACAGACAGACCTTGACAGAGATCAAGGAATTCAAATAAAGTCTTTCCAAAATCTACTTATTTTTTTTAAAAGATTTTATTTATTTATTTGTCAGAGAGAGAGAGAGAGAGCACACACAAGGGGAGCGGCAGGCAGAGGGTAAGGGCGAAGCAGGCTACCTGCTGAGCAAGGAGCCCAATGCAGGACTAGATCCCAGGACCCTGCGATCATGACCTGAGCCGAAGGCAGACGCTTAACTCAGGCATCCCTCTACTTGCTTAAAGAACCCAGTGAATATATCTTTGTTATTCCTCTTATCTATGTATTCATTAGTTTTTTCACTGGATTGACTAACTGGAGGAATATATTATTTTGTCTGCTGTGATTATCAAGACTTAAATAAGTATATTAGAGATAGATGTCTTTATTTTTCTTAAATATCTTGTATATATGTTTATTGGTAGTTTCTGACCATGGTTATTTTGAAGTATTAAAAATAATTTGGGAATATAGCATTCTAGGCATTTAACAGTACATAATTAGTCTATTAGAAAAGAAGTTAAACTTTATTAATATAAAACTAAATAAGAAAAGGATTGCATATGAAAGTGATACAATCATACTGCATTAACAAAGTTGTTTTTTATTAATTTTTTTTTTTTATTAGACTCCACGCCTAGTGTGGGGCTTGAACTCACAACCCTGAGATCAAGAGTCACATGCTTTGTGACTGGGCCATCCGGTGCCCCAACAAAGTTTTTTTTGTTTTTTTGTTTTTTGGTTAAAGATTTATTTATTTATTTTAGAGAGAGAGCCAAGCAGATTCCCTGCTGATCGCAGAGCCTGATGCGGGGCTCAATCCCACCTAAGATCCCCGTGAGATCACGACCTAAGCCGAAATCAAGAGTCAGTTGCCCAACCAACTGAGCCACCCAAGCACCCCTCCCAACAAAGTTTTTTAAATACATTAAACCATCCACATTGAAGCACATTAAGTATATTCTTTAAAGGAATTTTGTCTTTTGATTACTTCTTTTCCTTGACAACTAGCATACAGGGAAGTTCGGTTGTATTGTGCTAATGTTTTCATCACATTGGCCAGCACTCTTTAAAAATTGCAGGGCTGTGAACAGTGGTGTTGACATAAAAGGAAATTGCTACATAAATGGCAGAAGTACAAGTCAGTACATGTTTCTCACTTGTTTTATTTTGCTATAAAGATTTGTTTTTCTCCTGAATGAATAGAACCAGTGGTTGCTACATCTGATTTATATGGTACATATAATAGAGGACCTCACTTAATTGAAGGTTAGCGTGATTAGACCTAGAAGTCAACATAAAAAGCCTCTTAGCAACTGGAGTAGAAATTTACAAATCCGAGTACTCAGGTAATGCACAGATAACTCCTTAGAGATGCTTCAAACACTTCAATCTCAACATACTTAAAATTTAAAATTCAAAAATTTTCCCTTTCCTACTTTTGAACCCAGATAGGTTCTTATAATCTCTTTCTCAATTAATGCATCATCACCTAGCCAAATGGCTCTCCAACCTTGGACTCCTCATTATCTTTTTTTCTTACTAATCGTAAGCTGCGTGGGCCTTGTGATGATAATTAAGTAAAATTTAAAATTCTGAACTCTCCAGCACTCAGATGCTCCTAAACAAAAATCATTTGCCATCCATTTTTTAGGCTTTTAAATACCTCCTGCCTCTGTACATTTGTGCAGTCTTCCCTGTCTGCCCAAAGTACTTCTTCTTCGTTCAAAATTTTGTGCTTCCTTCCAGGTCTAACTCTGATGGCAGTGCCTTTTATGTGAGCCTTCCCTAATTCTACACTTGAACATCAGTCATTTTAAGACTTCATACTTTTAGAGCACTGATCAGAGTCTACTTTTTACTATAGACGTATCCTAAGTCTTTGTTCTACCACATTCTGGCGTTTCACAGTCAGGCTCGCCTCTTAACTATCTGTGTCCCCTCCACCTACTAGCACAGTGAGTGCTGGGACAGAAGAGGACACAATAAACATTAGAATTTGTGGCAGTATCTCCTTTGTTTCTTCATGTCCAAGGGCTGATATCATTAATAATGTCAAAAATAGTAAGAGCCAGTTGGTCATTTGCCGTTTTCCCAAGTGTGCGTTTGCCGATCACAGGTCTCAGTTGAAGTCCCATCTCTATTTTCTGACTGCTCTTTGAGAGGGTTTTTCATTTGTATAATGTGGATCATAATGCACATTCATAATTGCTTTCCTGCAATTCTGAGATCCAAAATCCTCTGAAAATGTAAAGTTTTGCCAAAAAAAATTTGGTACCAAAACTTAGTTGGTGGAAATACCTAACCGGCATTGGTGTGAGGCTTTTCATCATTGCTGTTAGTACTATCTGTATTTGTCCCACTTAGTGTGGATGTTATGTAATACACAGTACGGCTGGTACTTATATTTGTGTTTCTTCTGTTCCTTCCGGGCACATTGACCATACCGCTCCAAGCATCTTTATAGTCAGGTGGTACTGTGTGACTTCATGCTGGTCAGCAGAAAGTAGATTCCCCTGATGCGTGCCCCTTCCAGGCCTCCTCACCATTCTTCATCTTATTCTCTTCTGTCAGCACCCACTAGAAACCGAGGGTTCAGAATGGGGTCTTAGATGTGATTGAACTACTGGATGACATGATACGAGTGAGAAATAAACTTCTGTTGTCTTTTGTTGAGGGTTATTTTGGCATTGTGACAGAAGTTCATTTATGCTGTGTGCTGGATAACTTGGCTTTGCCTCTCTAGATCCACTCCCTCTACTTCTCCATTCTGTTGTCCCCTGAGAGGCTGACCTGTGTGGAAGATAGCATTGAGCTTCTTTCCTCATTCATTTCCACTCATTTCCCCATATGGGGAATAATGTATTCTTTTGGCTTGCTTCCTGCAAGGTCACTGTGGGTTGACTGCATCCCTCCGTGAAGGTAACAGTTTCTGTTGGGCAGCCCTCTCTGTGTCTGGTCTCTGGTAACTGCTCCCTGCCCTACCCTTCAGGTGTACTCTCTCACTATCTTTTATAGTTTCCCTATATCTCTTAGACTAAACCCTTCCCTCTCCTTTGTACACATTCCCTAATAGCCCAATTTGAGTGTGCCACCTGTTTCCTGGCGGAACCCAAACTACTACAAACAGTATGTGCATTGTGTCTTCCTCAAAATCTGAACAACTCTAAATTCAGAACTATATCTTATCCCAGGGGTTTCAGATGAGGGCTTGTGAGATCTGTGCCAAGTTTATAGGTTTATTGTGAGTATTAACTATGATAATATTTGAATGGCATGCAGTACAGTGCCCAGCATATAGTAAGCATTGGGTAAATAGTAGCAAGGATTGATATAAGAATACCAACTGTGTTGTTAATTTTTTTATCTGGGAAATCTAAATTTCTCATATTTAATGCTGGAGCTTTGGAACTAGCAAGCAATTATAAGAGCAGTATTTTCCTTTATATACTTATATTACCTTGAATTGGCCTACCCTTTTTTTGGGGTGTTTCTAGAACTTTCTACCTTCACATATTCTTTCAGAACTCTTAAAAAATGGAGAAAAGTGGTCTTATTTATAAAATCATCTCAATGCTCACAAATTTTATGTAGCAATTTCTTAAGAATTTCGAGCAACTTAAGTATGTTATTCTAGAAACAATTAGGCCCCGTCTTTCCTTCCATAACTTTTCTCTTTCGTCTTTGGATTTTTGTCTCATGAATAGGACACTTGGATGTTTTCTTGGGTGGCAGTCACGCAGACACTCTTGGCAATGGAAACACTTCTTGCTTTTTAAAAGATAATCCTCAATAAGTACTATGCCATGTACTTATTGCTCCTATGCCTCATGTCCTTTAAACTTTTAAAGTTTTGAAAGATGTATGTTTGGTTAGTTCTGAAAGCAGTTAGGGTTTTCAGGATTGACATTTTTATCATGCTACTAGTGGGCTTTTACCTGTATTTAAAAGTAGAACATTTAAAACATTTCAGGAGTGTGTAGCCCAAGTGGCTTTCATTGTGGACAGTTACTTTCTTTAGAAACTATTTGTAACTTTCCTGAGAAAGTGGATGTGCAAATATGCATAAGCAGGCTGTTATGTTAGACTTAAATGTGATACCTTTTAGAATTGTACTTAAGCACTTTTCTCTTTTATGCTAAAATACCAGCCTTTTCGTTTTAGGAATCTAACATAGGGAAAATAACACATTACCCCTTAGTTGCAAAATACATATTCCAAGGGCAAATGTCTGTCTTTGAGTGAGTTTGTTTCCTAAGTTTATAATACTGTAAGTCTGTTACCTAATTTTGGCATGTTAACATTAAGTATTACTGATTTTCCTTCAGAAATTTTTTTATGCTTTATCCTCATATTACAAACTCAGTTTATAGTTTAATCAGTTGTCGAAGCTGGAGTTAGCAAACATTTTGGTGAAGGACCAAGTAGTAAATATTTTAGGCTTTACAAACCAAAAAGATTTTCTTGTTCTTTCTTTCTTTTTCTTGGGAGAGGGGAGTTACTTTGTTTTGAACAGTTCTTTAAAAATCTAAGAGCCTGGGTGCCTGGGTGGCTCAGTCGTTAAGTGTCTGCCTTTGGCTCAGGTCATGATCCCAGAATCCTGGGATTGAGCCCCCGCATCAGGCTCCCTGCTCAGCGGGAAGCCTGCTTCTCCCTC